ACCAAACAAAAAACAAAAAACTATAAAAAAAATATATATATACAGGGTGTTTTCTCTAACTCGACCATTTAAAGTATCTCCGTTATTTTTGATGATATGAGAGAATGCTATAAGGAAAACTTGTTCGATTGGAAGGGATATATATTATGACGAGCGAAAAATTTTTCTCAAGGTCATAGTTTTTGAGATTTCGAGGTCATCGCGATTTCTTTAAATGGAATAGCCTATATATTCTTATAGCTTATCTCGAGAGCTTTCCAAAACACTATAATAAAATATTTTTTTGTTAAGAACTTCTCAAGTAATAACACTTGAAATTTCCAGCACTTTGACAAAGAATACAAAATATCTCGTAAAATATTCATCTTTCGGTTATCTTGCCTTAATGCTTTATTGCGCAGAATGAGACAAATTAATTAGCTTAAAAAAAAAATTTTTTTTTACATAAATATATAAAAATTTTTTTGTGCTTTTTAAAGCCAATTAATTTGTCTCATTTGTCTTCTATGCAAAAAAGCATTAAAGCAAAATAACCGAAAGATGAATATTTTACGAGATATTTTGTATTCTATGTCAAAGTGCTGGAAATTTCAAGTGTTATTATTCAAAAAGTTCTTAATGAAAAAATATTTTATTATAGTGTTTTATTATAGTGTTTTGGAAAGCTCTCGAGATAAGCTATAAGAATATGTAATAATATATAGGCTATTCCATTTAAAAAAATCGCGATGACCTTGAAATCTCAAAAACTATGACCTCGAGAAAAATTTTTCGCTTATCATAATATGTGTCCCTTCCAATCGAACAAGTTTTCCCCGTAGTATTTTCCCGTATCATCAAAAACAACGGAGATATTTTAAATAGTCGAGTTAGAGGAAACACCCTGTATATATGGTGTCCCAGATTCACCTCCGCATATTTTGTGGGAATGTAGAACAAGTCGAGGTGAATATAAAATCCCATATCGTTTTGCGATATTCGCAATAAATCTCAAGATATTAATTAAAACAGATTGGTGAATGATCAGGCGCGATATGGTAGATGAGCTGCAGTGGTGCCGTCTGCCGTTGTATACTTATACATTAGGTTAAACGGAACAAAAAGTCTTCTATCATTTTGCAAATGATCATATAGATTTTTAGATATTAATTAAAGAAAATTTGTGCATTATGGTATACAGTCATGTAACAATTTTCTTTAATTAATATCTAAAAATCTATGTCATTTGCAAAATGACACAGGACTTTTTTGTTCAGTTTGATGAATAAGTATATAACGGCAGACGGCGCCACGCAACTCATCTACCATATCGCGCGTAATCACTCACCAATCTTCTTTAATTAATCTCGACTATTATTGTGAATATCATAAAACAGTATAGGACTTTTATGTTTACCTCGACTTGTTCTACATCTCCACAAAATATGCGAAGAGTCTGTGACATCCTGTATATATAAAATATAATAATGTAAATATTATATATTAAATATTATATATTATATATAATATAATAATGTATAATATAATGTGTGTGTGTGTGTGCGTGTGTATATACACAGGGTGCCTCACACTCTCCTCCGGGCTTTTTGTGGGAACATAGAACAAGTTGAGGTGAACATAAAAGTTTTATACCGTTTTGCGATATTCGCAATAATTATCGAGATATTAAATAAAAACCTGTAAATAATTATGCAGAATATAGTAAATGAGTTATAGTAGCGACGACTACCGTCGTGTACTTATACTCACGATTTTGCGTGATAATGCGCTCATCTTCTTTAATTAATAATTAAAAATCTATGTGATTATTTGCAAAATGGTAGAGGACTTTTTTGTTCAATTTGACCTAAAGTATAAGTACACGACGGCAGTCGTCGCTATTATAACTCATTTACCATATTCTGCATGATTATTCACAAATTTTCTATAATTAATATCTCGATAATTATTGCGAATATCGTAAAATGGTATAGGACTTTTATATTCACCGCAACCTGTTCTACGTTCCCACAAAATGCCCGGAAGAGAGTGTGAGACACTCTGTATATATACAAGACGTCTCACACTCTCCTCCGGGCATTTTGTGGGAACGTAGAACAGGTTGCGGTGAACATAAAAGTCCTATACCATTTTACGATATTCGCAATAATTATCGAGATATTAATTGTAGAAAATTTTTGAATGATCATGCAGGATATGGTTAATGAGTTATAATAGCGTCGTCCGCCGTCGTATACTTATACTTTAGATCAAATTGAACAAAAAACTCCCCTACCATTTTCCAAATAATCACATAGATTTTTAATTATTAATTAAAGAAGATTATTGCACGATTTTGCGTGATAATGCACTCATCTTCTTTAATTAATAATTAAAAATCTATGTGATTATTCGCAAAATGGTAGAGGACTTTTTTGTTCAATTTGACCTAAAGTATAAGTACACGACGGCAGTCGTCGCTATTATAACTCATTTACCATATTCTGCATGATTATTCACAAATTTTCTATAATTAATATCTCAATAATTATTGCGCATATCGCAAAACGGTACAGGACTTTTATGTTCACCACAACCTCTTCTACGTTCCTACAAAATGCCCGGAGGAGAGTGTGAGACATCCTGTATATATATATATATATATATATATATATATACAGGATGTCCCGTATAAAACGAGCCAAAAGAAAAATATAAGTAAAGCGGATAAAAGTGAAAAATATGGCCGAAGTCATTTTTTTAACAACTACGTAAAATTTCGAGTTATTGTACTTGTATATAAATGTACTTGTAACAGTATTATTGTACTTGTATTAAACAATATTATAAAAAAAATTAAAATTATTGCTTTGGCTGCATATGAGAACACTAAGAAACACTTATAAGGGAATCTCGCAAACCCGAAAATTCAGATTTTAATGAAACTGCACAGCTTAGATAAATAGATGAATTTAGATAATTTCAATTGGTACTGAAAAACGGTATGAAGGGATGATACCACCCTTTAAAGATACAGAAATTTTCGATTTTTTCAATATATTTCGTAAACTAAATGAAATATCAAAAAATGCTTTATACAAAAGTTTTATAGTAAAAATATCTTTATTTAATTATGTCACTTATTTTTTTGAAAAAAATATATTTTTAAAAATTCATCCTTTGTTCCTATATGAAAGTGTATCTATTGCGCTATGATATTATAAGTTTATTATCAACTTAAGATAAGTCATGTTACATTCTATGTATATTCCTATTCATAAATATACTAAAGCATAAGAAAAGTAATCGTACCATTTTGCTATTTTTTCCCGTATTAATATTGATCATGGAATTTTTGGACTATTTTTTCCGTGTTTCTCGTTAAAAATACTTCCGAAAACCACTATCATTTGAACCAAATAACACCGATTATCGTAATCGCGCGGATTATTCTTACATTGCGCATACATTTGTTACGTAAAAGAATGGTTTATCGATATAATAAAAATGAAATGTATTATATTTACATAAAAACTTATCGAACTAATAATTGCACAATAAACCTTCTTATGCTTTAGTATATTTATGAATAGGGATATACATAGAATATAATATGATTTATTTTAACTTGATAATAAACTTGTAATATCATAATTGCAATAGATATACTTTCACATAGGAGCAAAGAATTGATTCTTAAAAATATTTCTTTCTTCAAAAAAATAAATGGTGCAATTAAATATACTTTTATTATAAAACTTTTGTATTAAACATTTTTTGATACTTTCTTTAGTTTACGAAATATATTGAGAAAATCGAAAGAGCCGCTGTATCTTTGAAGGATGGTTTTATTCTTTCAAAGCGTCTTTTAGCATCAAGTAGAATTTCATAAATTACATATTATTGATAAATTCGGTAAATAAATATCGGTAAATACACATTATCTATCCTTATCGCTCTGTAAATTGATTCCACTACGCTGTTCACCTATAATATATCAGCTGTACATATAATTTATATCTTTTGCAGCTTATCCATATTGTTCACTTCAGTTTTGTTGTGCGATTTTTGTGAAGAGTATTTGTAGAGTTATTGGAACTGTCAAAAACTGTTTGCCAAATTTATTGTTTGAACAATACTATGAACGATTGTATATCAATAATAACTATCTGAGAAGTGGCTTTTTAAAACTGTAGTAACTATGTCTCCGGCAAACTACTGCATACCAATAGTACTTCTGAAAGTTATCTTTTCCAGTAAGTTTAGAAAACTATCAAACGCTGACAGTTACTGATAGATGGTATAGTACCTGTCACCGAAAAGACAAAAGTGATTACACTGAACTTTCAAATGTCAACAGTAACTGTAAATGTTTGTACAGTAACTATCGAGAACTATAAATATCCGAAAGTTTTTTTTTCCAAGGTTTTTTTTTATAGAGCCTTTTAACTCTAATTTTTGTTCTATGATACGCTGGCGGCAAAATAATGAAAACGTGAATGACACGTGAGACACAACAGCTACTGCTGTTCAATTGTGACGGTCGAACGTATCAAGTGTGCCGCGGCTGACTAGAATCATTCTTTAAAAATTGCCGACTAGAAGCATTCTTTAAAAATTTATGAACATTAACCCGTGATAAAGATAGTAGAGAGTCTTTATGCCCCTTGATAAAATTGTCCAACTTTCTGACACCCAGAAAGGTCAATTTTTGTCCCAACTGACAAGGGGAACCAGGTGACTGTTACGGGAATTTTAATGCGCTTTTTACAGACTGTTCTTGGGCGAAAAAAACGACATGTGTCCGGCCGTTTCAGCCAATGGGCCATAATTTTGGAGCAATCGATTTTTAAAGAATGATTCTAGTCGGCCGCGGCACACTTGATACGTTCGACCGTCACTATTGAACAGCAGTAGCTGTTGTATCTCACGTGTCATTCACGTTTTCATTACATTTTTATTTATACGTCCATATGAATAACAACAACGACGACGACGACAATAATAATAATTATTCTATATGCGAAAACTGTGAAACAACTTATGTTGGCCAGAGTGGCAGGCAATTAAGAACGCGGATCTCTGAATACCGTAGAATTCCGAAAGATGGCAATTTAACTCATGTCCATATGCTACAACACAGACACATTTTTGTCCGGGATAAAGTCGAGTTTCTTGATTCTGAGCCCTCTTACAGAAAAAGATTAATCTCGAAGATACTACAAATTAAAAAACAGCGTAGTGGAATCAATTTACAGAGCGGAATTGATTGATAATGTGTGATCGATAAACATATGGCTCGCCGGTGCCAAATTTAACACGCAGTCAGCACCTCTGGACCTATGAGATAGCGCGAGCAACCGGTCATTTTCTTCGCCGGCCGCGGCGAGCCGTACGTCTCCCTGTCGTGTCACGCGCGCGCTCTAATTAGTCCACCTATTTTATTTAATAACTCGAAATTTTATATAGTTGTTAAAAAAAATGACTTCGACCATATTTTCCACTTTTACCTGTTCTACTTATATTTTTCTTTTAGCACGTCTTATGCGGGATATCCTGTATACAGAGTTCCAGATTATCTTCACAATCTCTCGTGAGGACGTAAAGCGGATTGAGATGAACATAAAAATCCCATACTGTTTTGCGATATTCTCAATAATAACCGAGAAATTAATTGTAAAAGATTAAGGAAAAACGCACGCTAAATGGTTAAGGAAGGAGCGCTCGCGACCCAGTAATATAGCAGGCAGATGTCAGTGCGCGGTTTATATCGCTACGATCCTACGTTTTGCAGCATCGCGCTGAGGCGAGATGTAGGAGTGCAGCGATGTAAGTATAGGCAGGGATGCAGATTTAGCACGTTACATTTGCAGCACGCTGACAGCGCGTAGAGGGGATGGCTCCCATAATGCGTGCCTTGTCCGTGTCCGTCTCTCACTTCACACACTTCAGCAGAAGTGAGAGGCGCACACGGACAGGGCGCGCATCATGGGAGCCATCCCCTCCCAGTTTCCAGTAGAACCAGTAGAACAGGTAAAAGTGGAAAATATGGTCGAAGTCATTTTTTTTAACAACTATATAAAATTTCGAGTTATTAAATAAAATAGGTGGACTAATTAGAGCGCGCGCGTGACACGACAGGGAGACGTACGGCTCGCCGCGGCCGGCGAAGAAAATGACCGGTTGCTCGCGCTATCTCATAGGTCCAGAGGTGCTGACTGCGTGTTAAATTTGGCACCGGCGAGCCATATGTTTATCGATCACACATTATCAATCAATTCCGCTCTGTAAATTGATTCCACTACGCTGTTTTTTAATTTGTAGTATCTTCGAGATTAATCTTTTTCTGTAAGAGGGCTCAGAATCAAGAAACTCGAAATGTTAAGCGTCTTCTACAATGGCAGTAGGAGTAGTAGTAAGAAATAAGCAGTAAGTAAATAGACCAATCACAATCGATTATTTTTGAAACGTGAGAATGGAATTGGTCAATTTGCTTACTGCTTATTTCTTACTACTACTCCTACTGCCATTGTAGAAGACGCTTAACTGAAACGGCATCCTTGAGTATAGGTAGTAGTGCGTTGTTTTTCCAATCACCGCACGCCGACATCCGTGCGCTATATTATTAGGCCACGAGCGCTCCTCTCTCAACCATTCAGTGTATGTTTTTCCTTAATCTTTTATATCTGCACTACGTTCTTACGAGAGATTCTCGTCCGCATATTTTGTGGAAATATAGAACAAGTCGAGATGAATATAAAAGTCCTGTTTTGCGATATTCGCAATAAATCTTAAGATATTAATTAAAAAAGATTGGTCAATGATCATGCGCGACCCTTATAGAAATATCATACTAAGAATCATTGATAATTACTTATTATCCAGTATTTTTAATACTGAAAATAAGTAATTATCAATGATTCTTAGTATGATATTTCTATAAGGGGGTAGATGAACTGCAGTGGCACCGTCTGCCGTTGTATACTTATACATTAGATTAAACGGAATATTTTACAAAGGATCACATAGATTTTTAAATATTAATTAAAGGAAATTTGTGCATTATGATGCACAATCCTGTAACAATTTTTTTTAATTAATATCTGAAAATCTATGTGATCATTTGCAAAATAGTAGAGGACTTTTTTGTTTAGTTTAATCTAATGTATAAGTATACAACGGCAGACGGCGCCACTGCAGCTCATCTAATATATCGCGTGTGATCATTTACCAATTTTTTTTAATTAATATCTTGAGATTTATTGCGAATATCGCGAAACGGTATAGGACTTTTATGTTTACCTCGACTTGTTTTACATTCCCACAAAATATGCGGAGGAGAGTGTAGGAGATCTTATTTATATATATAGTGATCATAGTCGCGACCGTGACTACCAAATGAAAAATTTTTCATATATAATTATATAAAATTATATAAAATTATATATAATTATACACAATTATGTATAACAATATGTATAACAAATGTATAACAAAATTATGTATAATTACATATAATCATATAAAATTATATATAATTATACATAATTATATATTATTATGTATCAAATTTGTCCATTCATGTTTATACATTCTATTTATATATGTAATTATACATAATTACGTATAATTATATATATAAATTCATGTATAATTTTACATAATTACGCATAGATTTATATGTAATTATACATAATTTTGTTATACATTTGTTATACATATTGTTATACATAATTGTGTATAATTATATATAATTTTATATGATTATATGTAATTATACATAATTATGTTTGGACAAATTTTACACATAATTTTGCATGAAAAATTTTTCATCGGGTCAGATTCATGGAGAAAGAATTAAACAAGCTTGATTGCGTGGCTGCGAAGTCGGAGCGAGAAAAAGAGAATGACATTCCCTCTCTCGCTCGCCGCACTGAACTCGGCCGAGCGTGTGTAGTCACATGGACAGACAGAAACGTCTCTGTTTGTGAGAAGTGGAGAGGGAAAAACGTCAGTGCGCCCGGGCAAGATTTTTCAGCCCTACCCTTGAGGCTAATTGTATATTTTTTATCTAAAAAAGGAATTACATCACAGCGCGCATATCAGATTATTTTTATTATTGATTTTACCTTGATTTTACCCATCTCGGTTGGGCAACAATTTCATTTCCAGGCGCTTCGACATCAACACGTTTCACCTGCAACACACGAAGAAGTCCGACAGGTAGGAGATGTACGACAGGAGTCGAAAAATCCATGAAAAAACAATAGAATTTTTGTTAACTTCATTCTCATTCCTCGGTACATTTTATATAGAGATGAATTTCCCGGCTGCGATTATTTCAATTGTGCAATTACAATGGCAAGTAGCAAACATTTCTTTTCCTTAGATCGACAGTATGTAATAAAAATGATATATACATCGTGCGAGCGACAAATTTGCAGAAAATTAACGAAATAGCGGAGTCGCGAGACGCAGAAAAAGCAGAAAATATGAAGTACATTTTTGTTGCACGATAAATTGCACAAATTACGCCGAAATCCGCGCGGAATTGGGTTATTGTATAAAATAAAAGCATTGGATTAAAATTTTACTGAGCGTTCCTGCCTTGCAAAACCATTGAAAGAGTATCAGCGTTCGCTGATTTGCGCGCGGAGAATTGCACGGAGATTTATGCGCCTGCTTTGCCGAACGGCACGAACGGATAAAGCCATTGAAACGCGATTGCATTTTTGTTCAGCTTAGCGCGAGATTCGTCCGCCCATTTTTGTTTTGCGTTTATACTGCGTGATATCGATATTCCGCGCCTCACGCGTTACATCGCGCAAATATGTGCATCAAGACCGGGCGCAAGTCCGCCCGACTATAAGCACGCTCGAAACACTTGAGCACGTATCTCTCTTTACAGAGATCTCTTTGTACACATTTGTACGGGATAACGCGTGTTTGTCGATGTAAATCGTTGCAAACCGGCCATCTTGGAACGAGAACTTGATTTTCTTCACGTACATATTAATGTATGGGATAATACGTATTTGCCGATGTTAAATCGACTAAATAGACCATCTTGGAGTGAATTCCATCAACTCCATGTACACTTTGATGTACAAAATAATACATGTTTGTCGGTGTTAAATCGACCATGAATAGACCATCTTGGAGCGCGTTTCATCACGTAAAGCCTCCACGTAAAGCTGGTTGCAAATCGGTTTGCACACTTTTCGTCGAATGAATTGCAACGCCCCAAGTTGTTAGAATTGAAACTAATATAATTCTTAAATGTAAGTGTAAAAATTACTTCTCAGAATAATGGTGTTTTGATTCAAAATAAATTCTGTCTGCCAGATTTCACAAATGCCACACTTTGTAGTGTCACCTCGATTCCTGTCATAAGCGACCACTGCGCACATATCGGCAGTATTCAATTCTGACAATTTCAAATGTTGCGACTTCATTCGATAAAAATCAATGCCAATCGATTTGCACCATATACATCAATGTACGAAATGATGTATGTTTGCCGATGTCAAATCGATAAAACATCGAATAGGCTATCTTGGAGTATTTGTGATCCTCTCCATGTTAGTCACCTGCAATTATTATGAATATCAGCCACCAGAATGGCCATTTTTGCCACATCGACGTTGCGTGTGTGCGATCGATATTTTTCAATGATAAAAACACCGATCAATCAGATTCTGAGAAAGCTGCGTGCTAACACTAACACGGCCCGTTTTTCCACATCAGTAATCATTATTGTATACTGGTCAACTTACTATGTCCTTGAAATACACCAAGAAGAGCGTCACCAGGTAACCGGAATGGCGATGGACGACGCTGTTATTTAATAATTGAACAATCACGTCCCAGACTGCGTCTTAACACTCCGATTACCACTTTACTTATGTTTGGATGATGCGTGAGTTCCCGTAGCTTCCTCGTCATAAATTTGAATGCCTTGACATCGCCTGTTTAGCTTTGAGATGGTTTTGTTAAATATTTATGAAAATATCTCGAGTGAAAACAATAACATGTCATTGATATAACATATACCCGATGTATTAAAAATGAGATTACTCAAGATTACATTTATTTTGCGTAATATTATGGAAAGCGGTCTGCGTGATATAATATAATCATTATGCGTTAAGTTTGTCTTTGAGGCAGATGCTTCCGTATGAAAAGGTCGGTTTTATAGTTCATGTTGGAGAAATATTGAGATTAAATGCGAGATCAGGCATGGGGTACGTATGGGATAATAGAATTGGATATAAATATTCTGTCACTGATATGGTTTGTTTTAAGTAATCTGACTCTGTATACTGCATGTACGATTGCATCCGGTGGTTCGAGAATTTAGGCTTGAAGGCGCCTGTGTCCAAAATCCAACGTGGTAGTCGAAGTGTTAAGAAAGATCGCACGCGAGAGTAAGTCATTTATTAAATCCAGATGGACGGTATGTTGTATGTGTGTGTGTATGAAATCTAAGAAGAAGACCAATTTACAATTAATATTCACAAGCTCATCAGCGCTTGCAAAATTTACACAAGTACATTTGTCAGGAATCAACTTCAATGTAATGGAAAGAAAATTAAATTAAGCATACCGTCCTGTATCATCCACTCTTAAGATCTAGAGAAACGATGGTAAAGCAATGGATTCGATATACTCCCAACACATACATCGGGTAGAAGTTATTTAAGGGTGATGGTCGTTGGAAAATGGACTTCGTTGAGATTTGTCGATTTGGATATTAGATTTGAATCCACTACTGGAAAGTGAAGTTAACTGACGATGACAACGAAATGATGAATACAAACAGCGTGAAAGAGACGATAACGATGAAAAATGTTGGAAGATTATGGTAAGCGATGAAAAGATCCCAGTGACGAAAAAGAAAGAGAGCCACGATTTTGCGTTATATACATCAGTTTTGAAAAAGAAAAGATCGATTGCATATCATTTCAAAATTGCACCATTGAGTTTTAGCAGGGAAAAGAGTAGGCATATTTATTTAAATTTTATTCCCTTCAGGTGCTTATTTCTATTAAATGCGACTTTAGTAAAGAAAATTATTCAAATTGTGAAAACGTAATAATTAAAAAAGAGGAAAGCCTGATTCCAGAGCAGCTGAGTTAATTTTCGAACATCTCGAAATTTCGTATTGATATCTTCCACCGTATGAGTATATAAATAAATAATATATAATAAGAGTAATTTTTGACAATATATAAAACAATTAAAATTTGACATGTGACATGGTGGACATAGATTGGTTCGCATTGAAAGACAGCTTGGTACTTACGACGCGATCAATATCTTAATTTTCCGAAAAACTAAATTACGTGAATAAAAAATAAGAAAAAATTACCGCAGTTATGTCCGCGAGAGTTCTTTTGAACAAAATGAAATACTCTTCGATTTTAATGGAGATAAATAGAAAATCGATCTTTAAAATTAAACTGCGATTAATGAAATATCATATCAGGGACGTAATAGACGATTACGAATATGGAGAATCAATATCCCAGACTCTGATTCAAACAATAATTATTCATCATTTCTTTGTTTTCTTCAGAAATGTATTGTACTTCTCAGACATTTTCTCAAGTGACGAGAACTCGTATGGAGGCTCCTTACTATTTGATTACATAAAAAATACACAATCTTTACTGATCAGTCTTGGTTTATGATGGTCTCGGTCTGAAGTTTTAGTTCAATTCAATATTAATTAGTTAATTGTTTAGTCAGTCAGTCTCAAATATTAAATCTCTCTGTCTTAAATCCACCGATTATTCAATTGGATAGTCTATCGGTTAATTGATCGATCGGTCAGCCAGTCGAGATAGCTGAGCTGCAACTGTCTAAACGCCAGCATTCTTGATAGTTCAGTCCAAATCTGCCCTTTGCCTTAATATTATATCAAGAGTAAATATCTCTTTATCTTTCTCTCTCTATATTATTCTCAGCTTTAAGTGCCACTGCGTGAGTCATTAAGATAAATAATTAAATTTTACTATACGCTTTTCTTTAAATTGATTAAAGATCTTCCGTTTCTTAAATTAAATTTTCTTAAATAGTTCCTTTTTAATTAATTATGTTTTTAATAACTGATTAACGAAGAAATGCAATTGTGCTATATAAAGACGACCTAATCAAGAACAAATATTAATTCTGCTGTCTTATCGACGCGAAATTATCACAACGTTATTTCCTTTCATACAAAGAAATTACTTAATTGCGCATTCTTGGAAACAGTATTTTCAAACGAAAATGTTTACGTAGTAGAGTACTTTTTATGTAAACGATTTTATAAACTTGTTTGTAACGATAAAAAGAAGAAAAACGAGGAGAGAGCGTATGATGAAAATGAGAGCATCGCACCGAAAGGATATAATAAATTAAATTACTGTTTTTTTAGTCAAATTAACCAGTTATTATTTAATTGAACGATTTCTTGAAATTATGTCATGGCTACTATATTTGGCAATACTCAAGCTACGTTTTTACTTGATCATTTTCTTTTTTATCTCCTAACATCTGATTCCTCAAACTGAGTCCTATTGGGGTCCTGATTCTTTGCGTATTGATGATTAGTATTATGTAATATTGTCTTGCGAACGTCTCAGTAATTAGCCTCAGTTTCCTTCTTTGTTTTTTAATTTGCCTAAATAATAATAACAAGACGTCCTCTGTCTTCTAGGGTGACGTTGGATTCATATTCATTATAATATGATTGATAATGATCATTATATTATATATTATAATCATTGTTATTTTATTACATTACATATACACATACGTTACATACATGCATACATGCATTACATTATGCTTCATGTTCCTCCTCTTTCTCAACCAACATTATCTATAGCAACATTGTTAATATTATTATTGCTGTCATTAAAACGCATAGCATATTATCAGTGTAACTGTGATTACATATAGTATAGCAAAAATGAAAGATGTAGCAGGAATAATAATATGTTTTGTCACACAATAATATTAATAATACATACATGAATATATACATATATACACATATGTTTATATACAGGGTTTCACAGAAGACTATATATATAAAAACACAATCGGTTAATAGAGCTCGCAGAAACAAATAAAAAAATCTTAATAATCGTAAGTCCACAAACTAATCTGTTTCTGACTATTTAGTTGTTCTTCACTTGTAAGCCAGTATATATACGTGTGTGTGCGTGCGTGCGTGTATGTGTATACGTATGATTACGTGCACATGTATGCGAGCGTGTGCATGTGTGTGAGAGGGAGAAATTCCGTGCTTGTAATGAAAAGTTCATAGTTGTCGTCAAGAGCGTTCAAAAGTGACGGTGCAAATCCATCGAGACATCAAAATGTGGTTAAAATATTAATAACAGTGATATAGAGTAAATTTTATTCAATCAAACGATGTGGTAGCGTCGCGGTGACAAGTACATAAAAAAAAATTACAGATTGATGACACTTTCTAAGCGATCACATGCTACATGACAAATGTCAATGGGCTACCAAAAGTTTGTTCGGAGTTCTCACGTTGTTGAGGCTTCCAATCAAGATATTTCGGAAAATAAAACTGTGACAACAAGGGTAATAATATTTTTCTGTTATAATGCTGATACAAACTTTAAATATTACGCTTTGTCCGATTGAAAATAGCGCAGTCAATCTTGAAATTTTAAGGAAACGCTTTAAAATAAATACATTATGTATCCAGTTCTTAAGTCACATATGTACGCACCTATACAGTCAAAGCGACTTTTGCCTCATAAGGTGTGTCAGTAGCGCATGCATATGCATATATTTTAATGAGTGCAATATAAATGAACGTAAATACGGGCTCGGCGTTTTCCTACATGTTGTTAAGTACACGTTTCGCAGCAGTTGTGCGACTACGGATGTTATTGTGACTAGATTCACATAGCTTTGTGAACGAATGATAGTTCTTGTTAATTTTTCTTGATATTGATTAGCCAATAATAATTTATAACGAATAAAAGTATTGTAAGAACGAAGCGTTCGTCTCCTGCTGTTGACTAAGGCAAATAAGTAAAATGCACAGACCAATTGGGATTGGCGTTTCGTGTCCCTCCGATTCGCAAGGTCTGAGACCCAAATCAGACGCAGCTAATCTATGTTGCTTGTAACCGAAGAACCGTTAATTATATGTTGTGTTACGATCGTTGTACGAAAGATGCTTTTGTGCAGAGCATCGTTTCATACGCCGTATAGTCTCGAAGACATTTGCTCACAATCAATTTACATCGAAGTACCTTCAAAGGATGTTTTTTTACCTCTAAACGTGCGAACAAGCACATGTAGAAAATATGTGTTTTATTTCTTGCTGTTCTGTAACATGTTCAAAGGCCGTTAGAGTCAACGAGGAAACACTTCCGATGGTTTGTAAGTATGAGTCTACAGGGCTATATCGCAGACTACCGTGATGATTCCATGATTGATCAAGCGTAAGTGCAACATCACTGGGGGATCTTTTGGGCAAGTTCACTTTCGCCGAAGAGATATGGTGCGTAACTTTTGTGTTTCATGCGAATTATACGTATTTTGCAAACTCTCGGGGAATGAATATCTATATGCATGCGGCCTATTAATCCCCGCTCGAAAAAAACTTTATTCTTGACAAAATCGTATTTTTTACACGATCGCTGCTACCGTTTATCCGCGAATTTTCTATTTTTCATGTAACAATATTACATAAAGGAAATTTTTTCATGCATATATGAGATGGAAAATTATCGCTGTCACACATACAGCCTGTTCAACACAAGCGTGGCCGACATTATTTCTGAGCTGTTTAATATCAAAGAATGGAACTAATTACACCTGTACTGTCTAATTAGTATTTTACAAGACGATTAATACAAAAACTTTTATTAATAAATCGTTTAGTCTCCGCAATTTCGTTTCGATAATTGTCTGACATCTTCGAGGCATATTTTCGATTAAATTGATAGCATTATTTTGGACATAAAAACCTCCATATTGAATCTGCAGTGTCTTTTTGTTTTTCCTACAGAGTTTTGCTTCATTAATCCTCAGACATTCTCGATTAGATTCGCGTCGAGTAATTGCGATAGTCAGTTTACTTGGATGTCGTTATTTTCTTTCTACTGAGAGCAAAGACAGCTTCGATGTTTCGAATCGTTGCTTGACTTTCTCTTGGAAAACACTTTTCGACATATTAAGATCCTTCTGTAAATTTCTATCACTCCTTTGACGTCCGAATTGCTGAATAGAATGCCAAGCTTTGAAACGACGTCCCAGACGTGCATCTTTATCGGATGTTTAACGGCCCACCGGTGATATCTGTTGGTGTGTGGGAGTAGACTAAATTCTCGAATAGTACTTTATACTCAAAAAGAAGCTTTATTGAAGAAAATAACATTCTCCCAATAATGATTAATATTTTTGTGCGTCCAGGAGTTTTTTTTCTTAACATGTGGAGAGAGAAGAAATTTATTAATTCGCTTTGTAATTTCAAATTGTAAGCTTGTAGACGACTTTGAATATTTCCACATGATAATTTTATAGCTTTCTTCTTCAATCCCACTTGTTCTTGGCACAGCATTAATCCAGGATTTGTAGAAAACATCTCCACGATCTGTTCATCCTCTTGGATACATTCTTTATTCCGACAAATCGTCGACGGTTTCTTCTCTTCGTACCGCTTTACCCACTTCGTTAAAAATGCCTTTGACTTTTTTATGTATTTTGCAGTCGTTTCTCAAGACATTTTCGATTCTTTCGCATGAATGCAAAGGAAGATATCGTCGAGTCATTTGACATGAAGTAAATGTTCCAGTCAGTGAAAATTGTATCCATTTATCTTAATAAATTAGTCAATACGAATCCATATCTATCCTAGACATGTGTTTTTATCTAAAATTTTATGTGTTATCAGTCATAACAAGTTCCAAGTAAAATTAAAAATCATGGTAAACGCTAAAACATCAAGGCTAAGTTTGTCATTTCCTCACAAACGTTAAACAATAACTGAGACTTTTATAACTTATTAATAACATATTGTAGGGATAAAATCTTATATAATGTATGAGAGTTTTTAATGTTACATGATTTTAAACAAACAAAAATTTTACTGGTCACGCTCTTGTTAAACAGATTATACATGACGTGGGAATCTCATAAAAATTGATGTATATGTATATTGTGTGGTAGCGAACGTGTTAACATAATAAAAAATATATAATTTTTATGTAGTCGACACAATTGTGTAATTTGTATTATCTTCTGTGTCGAAAAAAAAAACGCCGATCCCAATATTTTAAAAAGACAATATTTTACAAGGAGACGTATAACAAACTGATACAGAAAAATTACCGTATAATTCTCACATTACTTTTTTTTTACAAATAATGTTCATATATTTTCTGATATCACCAAATCGTTCCACTAAATTGAACAGAAAAAATATCTTCAAACACTGCTGATACAGTGGTTTTACTAATGTTACCTGCGGAAAATTTTACTTTGGCCCATTATTCCGTAAATAAATAAATCAATAATACAAAAGAAAAAAAAGAGTCATAATACATTTTGCATATAAATATGAATTTATTGAATACACATGTGTTTTTTTTAATAATAATTTGTTCGTATATTATACTTATTTGCTTTACTCAATGACATGAGCCGTACGCGTCTTTCCTATAATACTATTATTTCTTATAATTATTATTGACTGGTCAACGTCTATGAAATATAACAACAACTATCATTCATTCATAATAGCTGTGTGAATTTAGATGCAATGACATCCGTAGTCACACAACTGTTGCGAAATATTACTACCGATATGCAGTAAAGTAACATGTGCGTGTTTATGTTCATTTGTATTGTATGCATTAAAGTATGCATACGTGAGCGCTGCGGACACACTTGAGGAGTAATCATCGCTTCACTGTGTATGTACGTATATATGTGACTTGAAAATTGGAAACATAATGTTTTTATTTTTAAGCGATTCCCGAAACCACGAGATCGATCGCACCAATTTTAATTGGTTCCATCGTAATCCGACGTTTGCGCCGATATTATGGCAGGAAAATGCATTACGTTTGTTGTCACAGCTTTAATTCCCGAAATACCTTGATTGAAAGACCCATCAATGAGAGAAATCTGAATAAGCTATTGGTGGCGTCTCGATGTTTTTCTATGACATAATCGCTTAGAAAATGTCATCAAACTGTCGTTTTTTTTTTTATGTACTTGGCGTCGCGACGCTACCATATCGTTCGATTGAATGTGACTAATCTTATCACTATTATTAATATTTTTATCATACTGTGATATTCCGTTGGATTTGCACCGTTGCCTTTAATCGCCACTGACGATAATTACGAACTTTTTATTACAAATACGGTTTTTCACTCTCTCACATACATGCACATGCAGACACACACACACACATATATGCAAACATATACATACACACGTGCGCTCGCGCGTACACGTATATATACTAGTATACAAGTGGAAAACAACTGAATATTTAGAAATAGATTAGTTTGTAGGCTTGTTGTTATTAAGACTTTCTCATTGGTTTGTGTGAGTTCTACTAATCAATTCAGTTTATCTAAAGTTTTCTGAATATCCTCTGTATACACATATATGTGTATACATATACATATACATGTACACATTATCAATATTATTATGACAATACACACTATTATTACCATCACGACTTTTGCTTTCACTATACTACATACGATTACCATTAATTAACAATATATTATGCGTTTTACTACGATAATAATGATATTAACAATGCTGCTGTAGATGATGTTGGTTGAGAAGGAGAGGGAATATGTAGCATAATGTAATGTATGTATGTATGTATGTAATGTATGTATGTATGTAATGTAATAAAATAGCAGTGATTATAATGTATAATATAATGATCATTATCAGTTTTATTATAATGGATATGAATTTGACGGCGCCTTAGAAGACAGATATCGTCTCCTTATTATTGTTTAGTCAAATGAAAGAACAAAGAGGAAAACTAATGCTAATTGTTGGGATATGCATAAGACAAAATTATTTAATATGAACTATTAATACACAAAGAATCAGCACCCTAATTGGACTCAGGTTGGGAAATCAGATGTCAGGAGATAACAGAGAAAATTATCGAGTGAAAACGTAGTTGGAACATTGGCAAATATAGTAGCTATGACTTAATTTTAAGAGATTGTTTGATTAAATAATAACTGGTTAATTTGGTTAAATAAACAATAAGTTAATTTATTATATTCTTCTGGTGTGATACTCTTATTTTCATCTCGCGTTTTCTCTTTGTGTCTCATCTTTCTACTCTTGCGAACAGGTTTAGCAAAATCATTTACGTGAGTGGTGCTCTTCTATGCAAACGTTTTCGTTTGGAGGTACAGTTTCAAAGGATACTCTATTAATTAATCTCTTATATGTAATAAGATAGCGTTGTGATGATTCCCCGTTCATAGAACAGTAGGATTAATTTTTGTAATTCGTTGGGCCCTATTTTTGTAGCAACTTCATTTCCTTTTGTTAATTAGTTTTATTAATTTAACGAATTAGAAAACGGATCGTTTATAAGGAAACTTCGATTTAATTAATAAAATATCTTTACTAAATTTAAAGAAGGCAAAGGTGAATTTTATTCCTTACCTCTGTAATTTACATGATGATGCTTAAATCTAAGAAAAACAGAGTAAGAATGAAAAGTAATATTTAACCTTGATATGATATTGAGGGAAAGGGTATATTTGTACTAAACTAACAGAGAGGCTGGCATTTAGACGCTTGTATCTCCGCTATTTCTACCGGTAAATCGATCGATTAATTAACCGACGTACTATGCAATTAACTAATCCACAGTTTCAGGACGGAGCAATTTAAGATTTAAGATTTTGGCTGACTAAATGATTAATCGAGATTGAATTGAATTAAAAGTTCAGACTGAGACTGTCATAGGTCAAGATTGATTAGTAAAAATTGTGTATTTTTTATATAACCAAATAGTGAGGAACTTCCGTGCGAGTTCTCGTCACTTGAATGAATGTCTGGAAAGTAGAGTACATTTCAGAAGTCAACCAAGGAATGTTGAATAAGTATTGTTTGAAACTGAATCTGGGATATTGATTTTCTCACATTCGTCGTTGCCTACTACGTTCCGAATATAATGTTTTATTAATCGAAGCTTGACTTCAAATATGGATCTTTTATATAGCTCTATTTTAAACCAATAAGATATTTAATTTTGTCCGCAAGGAGTCACGTGAACGTAACTGCGGTAATTTTCTTCTATTTTCTGTTTGTGTAATTTAGCTTGTTGAAAATTTGAAATATCAATCTCTGATTCTAAATACTAAGCTAGCCTTGAATGCGAACTGTTCAGTGCTCATCAAATCGTACGTCAGATGTTAATCTTACTTTATTATTAAAAATTACTGTTACTATTTATTGTTTATTGTCCATATACTTATGGTGGAAAATATTGATGCGACATTTCGAGACGTCCGAAAATTTATTCGGCTGCTCTTGAATCAGATTTTTCTCTTTTCTAATTGCTATATTTTTCCAACCTGTATAAAATTCTTAAATTGTCTTTTAAAAAGATAAGCAACAAAGGGAGCTAAAATTTAAGTAAGCACGGTTGCTCTACTTCCTGCTAAAACTCGGCGATACAATTTGTAAATGATATGCAATTGACCGTTTTCTCCTCAAAACTGATTTATTTAGCGTAAAATCGAGGCTCTCTTTCTTCTTTGTCTGTAGGACATTTTTATCACTTCCATTACCTTTCATCATTTTTCATTGCTTTCATAGCTTTCATACTGTTCGCTTTCATCATTTCGTCGTCATCGTCAGTGTACTTCACTTTTCAGTTATGGATTCCAACTTGACGTTCAAGTTCTCGAATCTCATTGACTGTCCATTCACTTACGATTGTCACCCTTGGTCAGTGGCCTTCTGTCGCGCGTGTTCTTTCTTAACACTTTGACTACAACGTTGGACTTAGGAGACGAGTTCCATTAGATCTAAATTCTCTGATTGCTGCGTGTAATCGTACATAAAGTATACAGAATCAGCTTATTTAAAACAAACTATATCAATGAAAGGATAATTGCATCCATTTCTACTATCCCATGCGTCTCTAATACTTGATCTCTCATTTAATTTCAATATTCCTCCAATATGAACTATAGAATCGACATTTTCTCATATAAAACATGCGCCACAAAGACAAACTTAATGTATAATGATTATACTAAATCACGTGGATCACTTCTCATAATATGACGCAAAATAAATATAATCTAGGACAATCTTGTTTTTAATACATCTGATATATGTTAAATTGATAAAGTTTTTTTGTCTTCATTTGATATATATTCTTATAAGGTATTTCACAAAGAACACTCTTAACTGAATAGGCACGATAAAGGTATTCAAATTGATAGCCGAAAGGGTATGGAAATTCATACATCATCCAAATATGGGTGATGAGAACATCAGAGGGTTAAGACGCAGTGCGGGGCTTGTTTGTTCAATTATCATTTGGCGGCGTTGTCCATCGCTGATTCCAGTTACCTGGTGACGTTCTTTTTGATGTGTCTCAATGACATAGTCGGTTGACAAATATACAGTAAATAACCGCTGGTGCGAGGAAGTGATGCGTATTAGTGTACTCCGCGGATTTCTCAGAGTCTAACTGATCGTCGTTTTTATCGTTCAAAAATACTAGTCATACACACGCAACATCGATGTGACCAGGAATATCACTCTGATGCTGATTTTTTATCGAAATTGTAGGAGGTTAAGGTAGAGAGGATTTAAGTTAATCCCCTCAATGGACACCAAGGCACCACGATTAGAGCTTACTTAGACATCTTATCGATTTCTATAAATCTGAAATAATACAGTTCATGCACTTGGGTCCCATCTTTAATCTCAATGTCCCGCGTTAAATCTTCGAGCCATTCGCAGGACATCTTATAGAAGCAGTTTTTGGTCATGCCAGAAATGTTGCTTGATTTGCACAGGAAATCGCACTTTATCTAATTCCTGTTTCTGTCAAGGTAGATTACCGAGATGGTAGCCACCTTGACAACGCTAGACGTGTCGTGATGTGCATTCTTCTAGTCTGTGATTGGGCCTCAGATGGTCTTCTACACAGATCGGATGGTGCCGACACCTCTACTTGGTCGCTACAGAGTAAACTGGCCACACTACTGTAGCGACTAACATTAAGGAATACTCGCAGAGTACTCCTTTATGTTTCAATTAAATTTACAGACTGAAGTCTGTATCAAATTCCATGAAAATCCCACGAATACTGCAAATAAAAGACAGTATATTCAAGCTTTATCTAAATGCTCCTGGAAGTCGTCTGACTTGTAGGAGATACCGCTTGTGACGTAACATCGCGTCATACTCGACACGCTAACTAACCTTGGCTTGGCGAGTTAATTGACCATGTTTGAAAGCCAATCATAAATATACATGTTGCCTTGAATGCTGCGTGTGATCTTAAATTCCGCCATTATGCCAAATGTTTGTACGCGTGTCAGCCATTAGTACAAGCCGCAGCTTATTAAACCACAGAAATTTCCATATATGCGTTAAGTTCTCCGCTAAATTTTACCAAACAAAACAGCACATGTTTATTTTTATATAAGATCTATATGTAAGAAAATTACAAAAAGAATAGAATGATCAATTAATGATTAATGTTTATTTGACATGTGATGTTTTAACTCCATTGACATTTTTGAAAAGTTTAATTAATCTTGGTCACTCCTTAAATATGTTGCATTAAATCAATACTTACAATTTTGTATCTATTGTTGTAAGTTCTAAAATCAATATGCGTATTCCGAATCAATTTAAACTTGCGTTTTCTTGCTAACATTACTAACATTACTAACATAACTAATTTCAAATTCGCTTTAGGCTAATTATGTATAATACTTTATTAATTAGTGACTAATTATGTATTGTGTATTTTTATGTATTGTGTGTTGTTAAATATTTTAAGCGGCGAAAGTATCTGCTAGGATTCTTTGTAGGATTCTCGTTATTATATAGTGTTGCGTCGAAAAAAAAAAAAATATATATATATATGAATATACACAACTTATTAATCTTTTGCACTTGTAAGAACAGACTAGTTGGTCAAATTATTCTTGACATAAATATTTATTAAAAAATATAAAATATTTTTAAATATCAAATATCTAAATATTTCTAAAATATAAAATTAAATTTGGAGCTATACATCGACGCATTATAATAAGCGCTCTTTTACTTTTTAATCTTTGTCTTATCGTAACAACGAAAAAAGAAATGTTGGATTAATATATTGCAGAGTGTAAAATGTTAATTATATTAAAAAGAGAGATTCTCATTATTGTTACAACTATATAGTTATAACTAATTATTATTGTTATTAGAATATACGAGCCGCGGTTACTTATAAACATGTAAGAATATTGGATCGTTGTAAACAATAATTGTTTCCATACCTAATAGAAATCTTTGCGTTGGGATTTAATTGATGCTCGCGTAGGACATATGCGTTTGTAAATTGACGTTCAGAAAGAATGAAAGTATACACATTCCATTAAGAGTGTGCTGAAGTTTCTTTCTACCACGGGTCCAGGGACCTTCTTCAGAGCGATAAGAGAGTCACTGGGACTCTGAGTGAAGCTCTGTGGAGTCACGAGAGAACTTCTGCTGCTGAAGCTAATTCAGCAACCCCTTAAGTGCTTGAGACGTGCTATGGACGACTTTAACTCGTAAATAAAAGAATGTCTGAGAAAGAGAAAGAGAGAGAGAGAGAGAGAGAGAGAGAGAGAAAGAGAGAGAGAGAGAGAGGGATTTAATTCCAACGCAAAGAGTTAAATATGTTACATTAACCCTTTGTAGCACAGGACCTTCAAAATTCGGATTCTAATAAAATATTAATGTCACACATATCTAAAATGACAACCCAAGAGATCATTCCTTTTAAAATTAATTTTTTTTTCTATTTTTATAGAATAAACGCACAAACTGAAGTGAATACTACAAGTAATATATAAAACTAGAGTACATCACTATGTACAGGCTGAGCGGTGATTTCGTTGCGAAATTACTATGCCTGAAGTTATGATTTGATTCTCTAATAAGTGATCTCACTTAAATCACTGTGCTCCAAAGGATTAAATCGATATTTACAGCTCTGTACTTGTCAAAAAGTTGTAAAATCAGTTTGCGTAGTCTGAGTCAATTAAAAAACTTGCGTTTACTTCGTGCTAACGAATGTAACTGATCTCAAGTATGTCTTAAACTAATTATCTTTACGTGTACAGGAGGTGTACAAAATAATGGCAACACTAGATCATACATAAATTAAAATTCTCTATACTTGCCATGCTACATATCGCTCGTTATTTGGAAAAACTTGTTTCCACGAGGACGATCCGATGTGAGCTGCACATCCACGATGAAGCTAGGAAACATCTAATTGCTGACAGCAATGCTAAGAGACGGAAGCAACGATGTCAGGAGCATACAACCTGGACTTTAAATGTGTAAAAACACTGTTGCAAAACATGTGCGACACTATTGGATAAATCATCCCTTATGCTGACGTTTACATCCAGCCGTATTTGTATGCAGACAACATTCCAGAAAACAATGCGACTCTGATTACCCATGTTTTCAATCGTGGGACCACATGGAGGCGGCGGTTTTATATGGATGGTATTTCGCTGACTTTTTCACACCGAAAAGTCATTTCACCGCCAATGTGGGCATGCAACATTTTTGACTACCAGATGAATCCTGCAGTTCCAGCGTTGCTTCTCAATAACGATGCCGTTTGTCGTGATGACAACGCCCTCATACACACATACACTAGAAGTGTAGTGTGTAGTCTTGATCTGCGTGAAGCAGATGAACTTGGACATCTTCCCTGGCTACTACAGTCGCCGGATTTCAAGATTATCGAGCAGACATGTTCGATATTTGCGACGTAGAGCGAGAAGTAAATGCCTACCTCTTTTGTCTTCCCTTCAACTCGAGAATGTTCATCAGGAAGAGTGGTACGAAATTCCATTGCTAATCATTCTATAAGTTAATTCTACGAATGTCACGAACGAACCGTTATTTGCTAGCATCAGTGTGTTGCCATTATTTTTTGTACACCGCGTGTATGCGTTTTTTCATCAACGATATGCTAGTTATAACGCAAATCAGTTATTATCGTGTGTTATGCGCGAATTGTTACATACATATTCTATAAACAATTACCATCTTGTTACACATGTTATGATGTTTGAAATTTTACTCGCAGTTACGATTTAATCGTACCATGGAATCGTATTATGGAAATCGTATTATTGTAACCGGACCGATGAGAGTCACGCTTCTCATCTAGATTGTATAACATTACTTCAAAGTTGCGCTACCGAGCGAGCAAGCGAGAGAGAGAGAGAGAGAGAGAGAGAGAGAGAGAGAGAGAGATTTAAATGAACGTTGCGATATGCCGAGGACGATTCTTCAATCCTCGCATAGACGTCATCAAGAGGATAGGACATCCACCTGCCTGGCCTGGGAAAATCGTTGATAACAATCTGCGTATCTCAAGGAGCGAGACGCTCGACGTACTTCCTGATTATTATTAGCTTGCTACCTGGATCAATGCAGGAATTCATCGTGGATCTCATCATGGGGGACAGTGACGTGCCGTCGTTCTCATTGCGCGTCTGAAGAAGTTTTTCATGTACATGTTCCGTGGAGCTGTGATCACATATTTTTTATACACTTTTACACATTTAGCCGAGACTTATATACGGAACAGCACTCGCATTCACCGTTGCCTTAATCGCGCGTCTAGATAAAATCTTCTATATACATGCGCGCGTTAAATGTTCCGCAGAGCTAATTATATATTTTTATATCTATTCTTACACATTCAGCCGATGATTGTACCAAAATATTGAAAAGGTTCGTAACTGCGACTAACAAAATAAAGCAAGAATTGCGCATAAATATGGCTAAAATGCTTATTGACCGCTCCTACCTTCTTCCTTCTCTTTCTTGTTCAACAAATTATTGCTTCCGTAAAAATTCGGTTATTATTTTATTTTTTACTCTGTCTTTTTGTCACAAGTGTTAGAGGCGTATTATACTGGAATATTCCTACGATATTAAATAGAATTTTAGATTCAGTTTTTAAAACGACCCGATCAACGTATTGCTCGTTCGAATATAATTCACAACTTAATATCCGTTTATTTCAGCTAGCCGCTGGCTATTTGATCCAGTTAAAAAAGGGACATACGGCCTTTTATTCACGCACACACACACACACACCCTCGTGCGGAATATTTGGTCCACTCGCCAAGCAGACGCATGTCATACAAACTCTCTATTGAAATAGCGGTGGAATTGTTAAATTTACATGGCTGTTTTATTAAATGGTTATTTTATTTACAAGGTTGCTTTTATAACTGTACATAACGACAGGCATAATTGATATAAAATTCGGTATTTCGAAAGACACATCTCTACTACAAATTATATTTCATATTTAATAGTCGTTCGGATTCGACAACGTTTCAACTATATCGGAATAAAATCTTCCCCCGAGATATCTTTTATTCCTGCTGTTTTAGACATGTTTTCTATTTGTATATTTTCTATTTGTATACATGTTTTCCGCGCGTACCGAGCGGGAAAGAATTGTTTTATTTTATATCGAGTCACACAAAGAGGAGAAGCGCAGTTACAATCGGATTGTAAGAGAAAATTTATTAATTAATCTCTTTAGCTAGTAGTTTTACAGTCATCTCACCACAACTCGGCCGCACGTTAGAGATCTGTATAAATCAATGACATATATATCTAGACCAAGCATTCATGTATTTTTACTATATTAGCAAATAAAACCGTAAATTGGCAGTTTGTGACTGAGAAAGAAAGTTGATTTGCATCTACTACTTTCTCACTCTTGACTTATATGACAGTAAGAGTAATAATTACCTAATCTTTTAGTTGTAAACTATGAAAGAAAAGATACGAATAATAAATATTAAATAATTATGATAATAATGATTATATTGCCTTCATATATTTTATCTTTTTTCTTCTATATATTTGTCTATAAACATACACTTAACCTGACTATTGTAGTATATATATGGTGACTCTTGACAGACGTTCTAAGATAGGGTGAGAAAACAGTAGACGCAAAACAGCTTTCTCATTCTGTCTCAAATTGCCAACTTCTAGCTTCACTTTTTGGAGAAAATGCTTAGTCTAGGTATATATGTCGTTGGTATAAATATATTCGAAGAAACACTTTGTTATCGTGTCTCCAGAGGATAACGCGAGCGCAGAATATCAAAGGATTATGAATTCATCCGTCGAGGGATTCGTCGAAGAGAAATCGAAGCGGCAACCCCCGACACGTAGCGCGCCGGGTAAATATAGCTGCGAGATGAGTTTAATAACTATGCGAAAAAAAGAATCGCGAAATGCGTACCTCATTCTCGACAGGATCTAATTGGACAGGATAAAATATGGCGCATCAGAACGAGTCCTGAAACATTCGACAGCTCGGAACTCATCTGCATAATTGATAATTGTAACGACAGCGATTTCTCAAGAAATGCTCAGTCGCTTTCCGCACAAAATCTTCTTTTCGGGAGTTTTCAAAGAACGTGCTAAATTAGCTCGCATAGGAGCCAATCTTACACGGAGAAAACAAATTCGTTGCTGTTTGCTTCTTTCCATACTAGCACAATGTTATCACTGATCTCTCACTCCTTCTCTTCATCGCCTCTATTTCCGGTTTGTCCTTTCTAAACTCATTCCTCATCTTTCACTAGCTTTCCCTTCTTTGAAGAGGGGCTCTGCGTAGCGTCCATTTGGATTCCCGAAACGCGCTAGTGGTAGGCTACCACGAGTGTATGAAGTTGGCACCCCACTTTTTGAAATTTATAATTTTGAAAGTTGTTCCAGATTGTTCTGACTTTGTACCACATTGTTCCAAAGTGATATTGCTTCATTCGAAACGGTTTTCGAATAAAACAAAAAAAATGATTTTTTGAGCTGGCACCTCACTTTTCGAAAATCGAACATTCTGATACCGCAATAGATTGTTCTAGTTGTTCCAAAAGGACAAATCCGTAAGTTGAATTATAAGTCCAAAAAATGAAAAAAATGTTTTTGACCTGGCACCCCATTGTTTGAAAATAAAGCATTCGATACCGATATAGATTGTTCTAGTTGTTTCAAACATTGTTCCAAAAGCACAAATCAATAAGTTTAATTATAAGCCCGAGAAATTAAAAAAAAGTTTTTTGACAAACATTCTATCGGATCAAGAGTAAACTTATACTATCTTTCTTGTTCCAACCGAGATCTTTTTGTTCTGAGTTGTTCTAGGCTTAAGAATTATAGTTCTAGAGTATGAGACTCATAAGATCATTCGTTCTCCGAAAATTCGTAAAAAAATCGATTTGACAGTACTCGACGTCAAGAGTAAACACATGCTTCCTTTCTTGTTCTAACTGAGATCTTTTTGTTCTGAGTTGTGCTAGGCTTAAGAATTATAGTTTTAGAATATGAGACTCGTAGCGTCATCCGTTCTCCGAAAATTCGAAAAAAAAATCGATTTGGCAGCACCCGACCTCAAGAGAAAACACATGCTTCCTTTCTTGTTCTAACTGAGATCTTTTTGTTCTGAGTTGTGCTAGGCTTAAGAATTATAGTTTTAGAATATGAGACTCGTAGCGTCATCCGTTCTCCGAAAATTCGAAAAAAAAATCGATTTGGCAGCACCCGACCTCAAGAGAAAACACATGCTTCCTTTCTTGTTCCAACTGAGATTAACAAAAATATTTTCAGGTTTTTTTAGATGAAACTATTTTCTTAAAAAAAAAAGTTCTATATACTGATTTAAAAAAGTATAATTATTTGGATGATTGAAAATAAAGATGATTGAAATATATTTCTGAGGTGACAAAAATTCAAGAAAAAGATGATTTCTTACAAAAATTATTATGTAATTCAACTTACGGATTTGTCCTTTTGGAACAATGTTTGGAACAACTAGAACAATCTATTGCGGTAACAAAATGTTCGATTTTCGAAAAGTGGGGTGCCAGCTCAAAAAATCATTTTTTTTGTTTTATTCGAAAACCGTTTCGAATGAAGCAATATCACTTTGGAACAATGTGGTACAAAGTCAGAACAATCTGGAACAACTTTCAAAATTATAAATTTCAAAAAGTGGGGTGCCAACTTCATACACTCGGCTACCACGGGAGATGTAGTGAAGAAAAATTCTAACCTTTGACAACTTCCGGTGACCTCCAGGGACTGGGAGTATCTGTGGAATATTCCCCCGTTTTTAGCGTTGCTAAAAAAAGAAAAGAAAAAAGTTTTCCCTTTTTTGTCTTGCGCTTCTTTTCTTCTCACTTTCCTTTTACTCTCCTCTTTTTTCCACCTTCTTCCCACAGTCTTCCCTCTCTCACTTCCTCTCCACCTCGAATTTCTCTTCGCCTTTTTTAAAATCTTCGCTCTTCTGCACACACATGTGCTGTCTTTCTTCCAATCAGAAGTCTTTCGTTAGTGTAATTGTATTTTTTGTGTGAATCAGATGGAAAACTCTGTTGTCGAAATAGAAAGACCCCTGTAGGAGGTTTCTACTCAGCCAATTGCATCTCAATCGAGTATTATTGCAGCTGAATGTGTAATTTCTCGCCAATGAATTTTTCGTCTGATCCCCATCCAGTTGCACGAATTGAAATTTCTTTTCCATGTAATGACGCTTTAATTGAAAAGCTCATTGCCGTCATGAGCATCTTCCGCGTCTTGCTTGTTTCATGTCACTTCGTCTTGATCTCTTTTTTTTTATATTTTTATCGCTTATACTGCTTCTCGTGTTATTTGCGTCAAATTGAACGCGTGTGATCTATCGGTACGCGGCTCGAGTAGCGTGCGAATATCCCGAAATATCCGCGAGAATTTCGGCATATCATATAACAGGAATTTCCCACGGCTCGCGACATGAAACCAAAAGCCGTGCGAGTTGTAAAATCGACACAAAGGTGTCGACTGGCGTTTTTCCTCGCAATAACTCGCGAGATAAAAACTTTGAGTTTCTTTTTTTCTCGTTTACATATTTGACAGAGTATATTTGGGATATAGTACTTGCTAGTCATAGGATTTATGTTGACAGTTTTATTATCTCGAAGTAATATGTAGTCAGCCAAAGGACTCTATATCAACACGAACATGCAAATGGAAAGCTCTCGACAGACAGGGGTTGGGAGACTCCCCGGCCACGTTATCACCCCGTTTTGCTTTGCTCCGGTGCATTTCTCCCACCCTCTCTCTCTCTCTCTCTCTCTCTCTCTCTCTGTCTCTCTTTTCCCTTTATTCCAGCATATTTCCTCGTTCCGCGCTCGCTTTTTCATCCCTAAACGATATTCTCATTTTTGCCCGACGCATCGATGACGTTGTTAACGAATGCAACGGCAAGTACAAAGGGAAATAAAGGGAAACAAATCTTCGCCGAGAAGATTTGTCGTTTATTCATGGTCGTCCGCTTTTTCGTCGATTCTATTGTCCAAATGACACTCGTCAAGAAGGAGTTATGTAATTAATATAATTAACCTGATATGTGCATTTATTCAATCAATATTAAAGCTGTCGGACGACTGTGAACTGATTTATGCTGCATTTTTTTCATGAGACCTTCAGACAATTTCGAGATTTGAGGTTTTTGTGCGGTATGGTAAAATGTCCGATCTGGATTCTAGGATGGTATATTCTACGCGTTCTTCATGGATTTGTCATTCTTCATGTTTACTTTGATGATTGTAAAGAGGATATTAAAAAAAAATCCTATTTGAAAAAAGATTCATATATGAGCTACCTCTGTGATTTCAAAATAACTTAGGATTAAAGATAAAAAAGATATTGTCACGAAAAGATTACAAATGAAAAATTTGGTACAGTG